CCTTGAAGTAACATCGTCTCTTCCCGACCATCCTCATAACCACCTCTTCTTGCTCGGCAGACATTGTCCCACACCAGGCCACGGCAAATACTGAAGGAAATCCGAGAGAAAGATTCCCAGCCCGGAAGGTCAACAAGTCGACGTATCATTGGATATAATTGTTAAACATACCAATTATTAACTTGAAAAAACGGAAATTACAAACAGCAGAGCTTGCTTGCACAACAATGGTCCCTTGCCAAACATAAACAAGAGATCAAAAGTCATCGGAAGCGTCAGGATCCGAGTAATAACTGTCACAACTGGAAAGCGCAGACGGCTGCAGACTCTTTTTTATCGATTACCGCGATCGAAAATTTATGAAAACCTCAAACCGCTTGGTCTTATTAAACCGCAATACCGCAGGTTAAATAAGGATTTCCGCAAAACCGCACCAAAAATAACGCAAAACCGCATCACCGCAAACCCTTACGACCCCCTCGTTGTGGAATAGATCATTTTCATATTCTCCGTATTGGACTGGAAATAGTTTATAACTGAGACTAATGCGGGGAGCCTTTTCAACTACAAATGACATTCATCTCTTTGTAATGATATTCCCCTGCATAACCCTCCATTGCAAGCTACAATCGCCGACATAATTAGTTGACACATTGTCTTTCAATAGTACTTTTGGTGCACCAAATAACACGACTCTTTTTACCGCACAATAAACTGTGGAAAAGACCCCACTCCCCCATTCAAGATCACAGCAGTTGCCACACAACATTGTTTGGGGGGGTGAGGGGGGATGAAAGGACAAGCTAGGAGGGAAAAAAGGGATCACAGTGACAAAATACGGGGTTAAAAGGGTGAATGTGTCAACAATTTTGTCGCCGATTGTAGTTCCAGTCCAATACCATGAATGCGAAAATGGCCTACTGAATAGTCCCAAGGACATCTGGCCAGGATTGTAGTACATGGATTTGTATACTACTCAAGACTTACTTTGTTAGGAGCTCTTGCTGGGATGGCAAGAATGGGATTGGCTGGGGAGGTGGTGGTTTGAGTTCTCTCTCAATCTGAAATGACAGCTTTACTGATGGCAGATGGGATTCCCTGCAAATATCAACAGTTAACCTTTTGTACATCACTCAGTCAAGAAGCTCAAGTCTTGGGGAACAAAGCATAAACATAGAATGACAAGCCGTTCATATGAAAATAAATGACAGTAACCAAGTTAATGGGAGGATTAAGGATAATTGTCACTAATTTTGACAAACATTGTCAAAATTAGTGACAGCCTTCAGGATATTTATGCAAGAGGAAGACAATTGTCTCATCACTGCAAAAATATAAACAAACACAAATATCAAAAACCTGTAATACAAAAATGTGACCAATTCACATCCATTTCCCTCAGTCCAAAAGTACTTGATTCCTGCCCGAAACTATACAAGCATTCCCTAAAACACATTAAGAGGCAGCCTCTGTAGAAGGAGTCCACTGCACTTCAGGTCACAAAATAGCGTCCTCTCAAAATAAACTATCAGTAAACTATCTATGTCAAAATATTGTTTTTAAGAGCTTGCAACATTCATACCGAGGCCTTATGAGCAGGCCAGCATCAAGAATTACCAAAATTGATGAGCTTGCTTCTCAAAAACCACAGAGCACAGCCATAAACTATCACTATTCCTAGCTAAAGTCAGATTAGACCTTTTAAAAACGAGAAACACAGCCATATTGCTTTAGATTATGTTTGATGAACCCTTTCACTCCCAAGGGGAAAACCACATGTTATGTAAAACGGCTACTACAGACCCAAACACCACAGATAATATACTGATTATATTACAATATACTGTTTGTGGGATACCATAAATCATACTAAGAGCCAAAGGGGAAGTCGCAGTTTAAATTGAAAAGCATTCAAAACAAAGCAATAAAAACATTGAAAAATCTCTTACTCTTCCTATAGTTAAGCTACACTTCTGAACTATAGCTTAATATGCAGCTCTTCTCAGATACTTGACCTTAAAAATGTGACAGGAAAAGGTTGCAAAAATTGTAGGGGTAACCAGAGTCAAGTGGTCAAGAAGATATGAAGAGACTTAGCTGCATTAATGTGTAACGATTCTTTTGATTCCTAAAGTTAGATTCCTGTGTAGGATGCTTCGCATGCCTAGTGGTAAAATTCCAATTTAAGAATTCTTAGCCTAATGTAAGATTCCCGTGAAAGGATTCCTCACATTTCAGCTCCACAGTAAGCATGGCAGCTGTGCAAATGACAGGCTCAAAAAAAAAAAGAAAAAATGAAGGGTCAATTTGCATTTTTCAAGCACGTGCTATATGTCTTGGATTTCACATGGGCTGCAGGGATATTCTCTGACTGAAAAATTCCCTATTCAGTGTGTAAATATTCTACTGTTCATCCCGCTTAATCGGATTAGGACCATCTCAACCAAATATCAGATTAGCTTCACCTTGCTGCATCAGTTATTTCTATTATTTCTTATAACAATGTGCGGGTGGAAACTTCTTTTGATGTGACCTTATATAAAAAATGTCAGCATTATTTTAATTAACTGTTCCCACTAACTGTTATTTGTTCCTGTGGTAGACGTGCCATCTTCAGTTGACATCACCAGCAGTCAGAGCATCCATTGACCATATACTTGATCATGTCCTGATGATCCAATATATTTGTCTGATCAACGACAGTGTGTACTCAACTCCAGAGTGTACAGAAGCTCAACAACAGTAGTTGATAATTAACTTGACTATGTGATACTTTCTTGGGAGGTGTTAAACATTATTCTGGATTGGTGCATTTTGCAGAAGTCCTCCTACAGGGATGAGGCCATTTCCAAAACGGGATTGAGCTTGTAAATACTGCTGGTATGCTTTGTGGGTAGCCTCTTCCAAGCGCTCAGTTTGTTGGGGTGCAGCGCAAAAAAACGGCAAGGCAAAACAGAAGAGAGAAAGGCTTGGTTTGAAGAGCAAACTATTGCCTGTGGGCAACTTAACAAAAGGTTGTTCTGGTATACCAGGATCTAGTATACCCTCTGATAGGTCAAACTTTGACAGGTTTTGTCAACTCTCAAATGACATTGAAAGTGGTATCGCAGCGGTTGAGTCACAATCACCTTTCAAGGATTTGCATTACATCAGGACCTAAAAGGGAAGAATAATTCAACAAGCAACTTTTATCATTTTGCTGACATCAATTAGAGATGGTCTTAAAATTTAGAAATCCCTCCAGAGTAGAACTCTTAGAGGTCAACTTTCAAGAAACATCTTCCAATGAAAATGAGCCACAACAAAGATATCAGATTAGCAAAAGATCGTAATAAGAGGTGTTAAACTCTGTTTGAATGAATAGCCCGACTAAGCTAACCCAGAAAAACCTAGAATTTTGATTTGAGATTTGTAACTTTGCGGTGAGGTTTTCTGTGTATTGTTCGGCCTTCTGTTTTGAGTTTTAATAATCACCCAATACACAAAACAAAACAGCAAAAAACATTTCTATAGNAAAATATGTTAAATAAAAATAAGAATCCCGACTTTGACGCAATGACATGTTAATTACAGAGAATGACAAGGTCATTTAAAAAGCCACGTAAGTGCCTAATTTAGGACAAATTTAAATTGTAATGAACAGGCAGATGTAGTTATATTTGAATGTTAGTTGGCTCGAAACCTCCCATTCTCGTTTTTGATATATTTTACCCACAACAAAGAAATCAATATCCATAAAATTGTCCGTGTATTAATGCTTTAACAGCTTTTAGCGAATAAACATCACACGTTGTGTGACTCAAAATTTGGCTGAGAGGAAGTCTGGGTCTGGTCACCGACAAAAAAAAAAAATAAACCAAGGGTAGATTATGAAGCGCGCTTGGCCCATGGCCGCGTGGTTAAAAAACCACAGGTAAACCATGAACCGCACTCGGCCCATGGCTGCACGGTTAAAAAAATAAATAAACCACGGGTAGAACATCAACCGCGCTCAGCCCATGGCCGCGCGGTCAAAAAAATAATAAGCCACAGGTAAACCATGAACTGCGCTCGGCCCATGGCTGTGCGGTTAATAAAATAAAATAAACCATGGGTAGAACATGAAACGTGCTCGGCCCATAGCCGTGTGGTTAATAAATAAACCACAGGTAGAATGTGAATTGCGCTCGGCCTATGGCCGCATGGTTAAAAAATAAACCAAGGGTAAACCATGAACCCCGCTCGGCTCATGGCCGAGCGGTTAAAAAATAAACCACAGGTAGATCATGAACCGCGCTCGGCCCTTGGCCGCTCGGTTAAAAAATCTCTGAGGAGTTGGAAAGAGGCCATTTCTTAGTATTTTCAAAAGGCTACTTGCCTCACCTACCCTGTGAGGTAGTTCTACACCCCTTCACATCCCTACATGAACTTCACAGATTTCTGTTATTGTCTTTTAGTATATAGAGGATATTACACAGTGGCGAGAAGAGATGAATTTTATGTTTGAGTGGCAAGAACAATATTTCGCGAGTGAGATATTGTTCTTGCCATTCAAACATAAAATTCATATCTTCGAGCTGACGAAGCAAACTTGATATCAGTGAAATCATTGATATCTTCACTAGTGAGGATATGGAAAATATTTCACCTGAGTCCCGGATGTGGTTTCATATGAATTTTATGAGTAATGTATTTTCCAGTAAAACACTCATGTCTATATAATAAGTCATTATATTGTGCCCAACTGCCAAAAATAATGACATCTGAGGGCTACATCTTTGATCAGGAACTAGCAGTTTGCTTATTTGAAGTACCTTTTTCAATAATTATTCTAACCTTTAACAGATAGCATTGAAAACTACATCAAACTTTTTCTAGGGAAAATATGAAAGAAACTGATCTGCAAAATTAAGATTTTGTCCTGTATTTACTGATGTGTGCTCTAACTGGTTGCTGGAATAAAGTCCCAGATCCATATATTTTTCTTCTGAAGCTCTATCATGACCCTTGGTCCCTGTGTTGCTAATGGTACATCTGAGAAGAGCATCCTAGTGAAGACTACTTTGAAAAAAACATTGCTAGGCATTAAATTGACAACTTAAGTGGGTATTTTATTGTTTAAGTATGTTGCGAATGCTTGCAGCTCAAGACAAGGGGTACATGTACATCTAACATTGAAAATGCATTGAATAAAAACATGAGAACTACAAAATAAAATAGAGCAACAAAAGCGCAAATGTAGGAAACTAACTTGGTAGCAGTGACGACTGTACTTCGCTTTGGTTCTTGATCGTAACTTCTACTGGAACAGTTGTAAAACACAGCAATCTCATGGACAAGTCGTCTGTGATTTGAGTTCATTGGTGGAAATGAATGTGATCTCGGAGAAGCTGACAACTGTGAAATGGAAAAATAAGTGCAAAACAAGCAACTAGTGAGACAATTGCAGATAGTGCAGAGTGTAATGTAAAGCTCTGATGCAGTACTCATAACACAGTTCGTATATAACCCCTGCCATTCACTCCTGGTTTTTATTATATGGCTTTGGTTTGTGGCCGATATAACGCACTCTCTGATTGGCTAAGAGCGAGATCTGAGCGGTCATTATGTAGCCGTAATGCCCATGGGCCGATTACGGATTATGCAAATTAGGAAGAGCCCAGCACCGAAAATTCAAGCGCATTGAAACGATGAAAGCTGATCAAAAACAGTAAGAGAAAGTAAATTTAATTTTGATTAGCTAAAAGTTTGGAGAATTTTCCTTAACAAAATTTATATAGAAGTCGTTTTTGACTTACCAGCCGGCAACCTTGGCGGGCACTAGTGAAAAACAATCAAAGTTTGCTGAAATCGCTAAGTCTAAAACACCACCGGCAGATCTGTCATGCATCCTGAGCAGAACACCACGAAGAAACTTATAAGCTATCATCTTAGTCACAACAATTACCGAAATATTGAACTCCGTCACAGTGCTCATTAAATAAATCGCTTTAACACAAGCAAGTCTAAATTAGCTTCCAGTATCATCACGTGTAAACAATCAGGCAGTTTCTGCCAGTAGCAGTGTTTCTGATAACTGCAGGAAGTTTTAGACATTCACAAGGCTTGAAAAGTTCATCCATAAATCCCAGAATGAAGAAGGCGAAGATATGTTGTCAAAAGCGAATGTGAGAATCGAGTTATTCTGAGCAATACATTCTGAAGCATTAGTATTTTCTTTCACTGAGAGACCATTTGTTTGGACTATTTTGAAGCACTTTCTGTCTTTTCTATATGCATTGACGTTTCACCACANGTATTTTTGAGCAAAAATTCCTCTTGGGGGTTGGAAGGGCTATGTGATCGGTGAGTGAGGGAGTTATGCACGCGCATGTGTCACACCAATCACAGTGGGGGTTT